CACCAACCCACAAAATATACAAAACAGCAATTTTTCAAAGCAGTGCACATTGGGCTATGAAAGACAGTGAACGCTGGAAGACGGGAAACAAACAAACCCCAACTGCTCTCTTGCTTCCTGCATCTAGTGCAGCGGTTCTCAACCTGTGGGTCATGACCCCTTTGGGGGTCGAATGACCCTTTCACAGGGGTCGCCTAAGACCATCAGAAAACACATATATAATTACATATTATTTTTGTGATTAATCACTATGCTTTATGTTCAATTTGTAACAATGTAATTGGGGGTCACCACAACATGAGGAACTGTATTAAAGGGTCGCAGCATTAGGAAGGTTGAGAACCACTGATCTAGAGTTTCCAGGCTGCGAAGCAGGTGCCCTGAGCTGAGGATCAAGTCAGCAAGACGAAGCCCAGAGGGGAGAGACGCAGCCAGAGTGGAGCTTGGATATGTGCAAAGAGACCTCAAGGGTATTCAGCAGAGCATTGACCAGCACAAATGCGTGAGGAAAATAGCCGAGGCCAGGGAAAGAACCGCCAAAAAAGTTTAGACAATAGTGTCTGGTGCTCACACAGGGCCTGGAATGGCACCTTCCCATTAGCCAGATTAGAAAACCACAGGACAGTGGGTATATTCAGGAAGGTTTTGCCTCAGTAGTTGGGGCAGTTAGCCCTGGACAAAATACTGCTCTAGTCTTACTTAACAAATCTTAAAAGCAAAACTTTAAAAGATCAGTTTCCAATAATTTAACTATGTTTGGAACAAAGCTGGAAAACATTCATAGGAATACAAAAATACCACAGGAGTCAAAATTCACAATGTCAGATACCCAATCAAAGATGATCAGACATGCAAAGGAAAATACAACCCTTATAGGGGAGAAATTCAATCCATCAAAAGCAACCAGAATTGACAGAGATGACAGAATTGCAGGCCAGGAATTCTATAAAACAGGTATTACAATTATATTCTATGTGTTCAAAAGTTAAGTAGAGACAGAAAAGATACTATAATGACTCAAACTGAACACCTAAAGAGTAAAACACCTCATGACTTGAAAATTACACCAAATGGTATTAATAGCAGATTAGACACGGCAGAAGCTTAATGAACTTGAAAAAATGGATAACCTGAGTAGTTCTATTATCTACTGAAGAAATTTGTAGTTTAAAATCTTTCCACAAAGAAAGCCAAGATGGCTTCACTGGGAAATTCTCTCAAATATTTAAGGAAGAAATAACTCCAATTCTATAAAATTATTCTAGAAAATAAAAAGGAGGGACCATTTCCAACTCATTTATGAGACCAGCATTACTCTGATATCAAAACTAAAGACATTATAAGAATAGAAAACAACACACCAATATCCTTTGGCATCACAGATGCAAAAATTAACAAAATGTTAGCAAACTGAATCCAACAATACATGAAAATGATAATACCTTGAGACCAAGTAGGATTTAGCCCAGGAATACAAGATTAGTTTAACTTTTGAAAAATCAATAATGTATATGAGCATAACCAATGGACACAGTAGGGAGGCGAGGGCATGTGCTGGGGTTGGGAGTGGCTGGGGAGAGGTCAATCAAGGAGACTCATGTAATACTTTGAACAATAAAGATTTAAATTTAAAAAAATCAATAATGTAATAAATGAAAAAAAACCAACAAAAATTATCTGAACACCTCAATAGTTGCAGAATTTGTCAATCTCCAACATGTATTTCTGATAAAAATTCTCAGCAAACTAGGAATAGAAAGGAACTTCCTCAACCTAATGGCTATTTTAAAAAAACCCACAGTTAACATACTCACTGATGAAAGACTGAACACTTTCCTCCTAAGATCAGGAACAAGACAGGGATGTCTGCTTTTTTCCAATTCTCTTAACCATACTAGAGGTTCTAAATGGTGCCATGAGGCAAGAAAAGGAAATAAAAGGTACGCATATTAGGAAGAAGTAAAACTATCTCTATTTACAGATGACATGATTGTCTATGTAAAAAATCTGATGGGATCTACAAAAAATTACTAGCTATAAGTAAGGTTAGCAAGATAGCAGTATACAAGATCAATATATAAAAATCATTTGTATTTCTATATACTAGCAATAACCAGAAATTGAAATCATGCCATTTATAACACATTAAATAAGGAATCAATTTCACATAAGATATACAAGACCTATACACTGCAACTAGAAAACATTGCTGAAATTAAGGAAGACCTAAATAGAAAGCTGTCCTTTGTGACCAATTGGCAGACTCCACATGGTCAAGGCATCAGAATCAATTCTTCCCACACATATCTATAAATCGACATATCCCCAATCAAAATTCTAGTAGGCTTTATGGTAGAAATTGGTGAACAGATTCTAAAATTCATATGGAAATAGAAGAGACCTGGAATAACCAAAACAACTTGGAAAAAGGATAAATTTGGAGGGCCAACGTTCCTAATTTTGAGACTCATTATACCCAAACATATATTGACAATGATTTTTGACAAAGGAGCAAAAGCAGTTCCATGGGGGAAAGGACGCTTTAATAGCAGGCGTGGGGAACCTTTTTTCTGCCAAGAGCCATTTGGGTATTTATAAAATCATTCTCAGGCCACACAAAATTCTCAACTTAAAAATTAGCCTGCTATATTTTGTCAAATATTTAATTAACTTACCCCTAATGCCTTGGGAGGGCCAGACCAAATTATTTTGTGGGCCTTATATGGCCCTCGGGTTGGACATTCCCCACCCCTGAACAGGGAAGACATTTAATTTAGATTTATAACTCACAACACATACAAAAACTCACCCAAAACAGATTATAGACCTAAATATAAAACCTAAAGTCCTAAAATGTCTAGAAGGAAATACAAGATAAAATCTTTATGATCTTAGTTTAGGCAAAGTTTCTAAGATTGATACTAAAAGCACAATCCATAAAAGACCAAACTAATACATAGACTTCTTCAAAATTTAAAACTTGTTTTCTGAAAGACATAATTGAGAAAATCAAAGGAAAAGTAGCGTGTGCGGGGAGCAGAAAGGTAGTGAATGGTAAAGGGGGTCAAATATATGGTGACAGAAGGATATTTGACTTTGAGTGGTAAACACGCAATGCAATATACAGATGATGTATTATAGACTTGTACAAAAAAAAAAAAAAAAGACAAGCTGCACTATTTGCAAGGCAAATATCCAGTATAGGACTTGTACCCAGAATACATAATAAACCCAGACAGAACATGTAACAAACTCATACAAAATAAGCAACCCATAAAATATGAGCAAAAGATCTGAACACAAACTTTATTTAAAGAAGGTATAGAGAATGCGAATGGTCACCTAAAAAGATGTTTAGTATCACTAGGGAAATACAAATTTAAATCACGATGAAATTGTACTACATACCCACTGGAATAGCTAAAATGGAAAAGACAGACAATACCAAATGTTGGCAAGGATGTGGAACAACTTGAACCCTCATACACTGCTGCTAAATATGCAAGATGCTATAGCCATTTTGAAAAATAGGAAATGTCTTATAAAGTTATATATACACTTTACACATTACTCTGACAACTTACTTATATTTACCCAAGGGGAATGAGAATATGTTCACCAACAACTTATTCATTAATGTTCACAACAGCTTTATTCATAACAACCAAAAATTGGAAACCCAAATGAGCATTAGCTGGTGAAAGGGTAATCTTTGTGGTATCCCTATCACACAGCAACAAAGAAACAATTTACTGCCACAGTACCCATGAATCTCACCCGCGTCATCCTAAGTGAAAGAAGTCAGGTATAAAAGATTGCGAAATTCATGGTTCCAGTTAGATGAGATTCTAGAAATGGCAAAATATACGGACAGAAAGCAAGTCAGTGACTGCAAGGACTGGAAATCAAGGGAGAGGACTGAATGCAAAGGGGCCTCAGGAAACTTTTTGGAGGGATGGAAATTGTCTATCTTGTGATTGTGGTGGTGGTTATACAATTGTATACATTTGTTAACACTCATTGAAGTATATAGTAGATGAAAATATACATTAAAAAAGTTAACGAAAACATATAATAATCTCACACAAATTTAAGACAAAGAAGGGACCATCAAACTGTCAAAAGTAATCTTCTTTGGGTGGTGGGAACATGGGTAGTTTTAATTTTCTTCTTGGCACTTTTTTGTGGTTTTCTTATTTTTTATAATCAGTTGTGTAAACAAAAACTCTTAAAATTCATGCCTCTTAATAGGAATTGTGATATCATATTGCTACCCAAAATGTAGATATTAAGACTACTTAACAAATGTTATTCTTTAAAAACAAGATACAGTGTCAGAAAAACCAGCCTACTTGTAAATAGAATATCCAAATAGTAAAATTACTTTCCATCATTTTTCTTGTTAGAAATGGAACAGCATTACTTTAAAATGTAACAAAATTTATTTGTGTGTTTTCATATCAGCAAGTAATCACAAAACACAATGAAGTAGTGGGGAAAATCTATTAACAAGTGAAGCTATAATAAGAGTCTTCTATATAACATAATAGAATTATAACATTAATTTGGGGCCTATTTGGAAAATGTTAAGTCACGTGGCTCTTAGAAACACATCTCTCTCCTGTAATGGGATAACTTTAAAATCTTTCTAGGAGCTTAAGCCTGAAAATAAAATAAAAAAACCTCACCACCACCAAAAAATGAGAATACTCATTGATCTGGGACATGCTGTCATAGGATTTCTACTGTTCTTGTTGGAGGTAAATATGGCATTTCTATTATTCCCTTCACTGTTGACTCAGAAACAATACCAGGACCACGCAATCCAAATCTGCATCACATTTCACTGGCGTTGGGTAGCTGTGTTTGTTTAGACAACTATAAACACCAGGTAAGTGAAAGACAGGAGGCTGGCATCATCATGTCTCACAGTTCTCCCCATCTAAGAAAATTCCAGGACTCTAATAGGCTCAGCTTTGTTGTCACTGGTGGAGCCTTACCTGGTAGAGCTCTTCCAGGTTGTATCTGATGGAGGTACTACCTTGAATGGCTTTCACTGCCTCATGAAGCTTCTGCCAGGTGTCCTGAGTGTAGTTATCAGGCAACTTGGGTCTGTCTGTAAATCCAGATAGTCAGTGGTGAATGAAATCCATGCTAACAGTCATACATCTTTCCAAAAATGGTCTACAAAAGCGTACTTTAAGAAACACAGACATTAGCTTTTTTTCCTCATACAAAGTATTGTATTTATAAATGTGTTACATTACAGACTCTGCAACCACAGTACACTCGTCTTGCTAAAAACACTTCATATTAATACTTGGGGTAAATACACAGAAAACACAAGGTGGGCAAAGTAGGTTTCCGGTTGTGAGGATGCAAAAAATAACCGACTCTTGTATGACTAATTATCAACTACTGTATTTATTTGTTATTGTGTTCTTTATCTGTGAACCTGCTTTTGCCCGTCCCTGGATGCGAGTCTCCCTTTTACTTAAGTTGACTTTATACATGTAGAAACGTGTAAGAGTTAAGCTCTGCACGACACGTAAAGTTGCTTTAAAGTACTCAAAGTTGGGAAGCGAAGACGAAGCTGAGAATGACGACATCTGCACCCAAGACGCTGGCTTTGAGAGAGTAGCAGTGACAGGGCCGGTGCAAGGCGGAGGAAGTACTGAGAATTACATCCCGAAGGGCCCCAGCGGCTGCTCCTCGTTCTCGCTCGGCCATGCGAATCGAGAGCTGGGTTATTTGGCCTCATTTATTCCAACTGGGAGGCGGCTCCCAGGAAGCTCGGCCCACAGCCCGCGCCGCAGGTCCAGCCGGCAGTTGGAGGCCCAGG